CTCAGCCCCGAGGGCAGCGCTTGCCCCCCGGGCAGCTCCGCAAAGACCTGGGGCAGCCCAGGGCCGGGTGAGACGGGCACTCCCAGCGCGGCTGCCACAGCCATCCTGTGAGCTCTCCCGCCTTCCAAGGCACTTCCAGCAGGTAAGACTTCAGGAAAGCCGGGGGTACCCCCTCCTGGTCCGGATTCCCGACTCGGTTCCGCCTGACAGCTGTGGTGATGCCTTGGCAGGGGTCGCCGCCAGCCTCGCACGGAGCTGTGCCGACCGGCCAGCCGCTTTCGCCAAATTCGGGTCGCTGGTCTTGCCCGGCGGGCTCTCCCCGGGCATCCTCAGCCCCGTCCCCTGCACAGAGCTCAGGAGGGGCTGGAGGGAGGCAGAGGCAGCCACGAACCGGGCAGCGGCGGTCTGGAACCGGGGACTGGGAACCGGGAATCGGGCTCTCCCCGACCGCTCCCGCGCCGCGGCGCCGGCGGGCGGGCGGAGGGCGGCACCGGGAAGGGCGGCGGGCGGGACCCCCGGCCCCGCGGAGCTTGTGCCGCCCCGGCCCCGTGCGGGCACCGGCAGCGCGGGGACCGCGGCACCGGCACCCGGGGCGGGCGGGGACGAGGGCAGCGGCATCCCGGGGCGGGGTGGGGACCCGCGGCATCGGCATCCCGGGGAGCTGCAGGCACCGACATCCCGGGGACCCGCGGCGCTGGCATCCCGGGGCGCGGCGAGGACCTTAAGATCGGTAACACAGGGACCGGGGCACCAGCAACCCGGCTACCCGGGGTACCAGAACCCCTGGGCATTGCAGGGGTCAGCAGCTTGGCGTGCAGTCGGGGACTCGGGGCATCGGCAACCCGGGGTGAGAGGGCAACCGGAGCAGCGGCATGCAGGGGAAGCGAGGCACCGACATCCCGGGGTAAGCGGGGAGCCGCCGTGCCAGCATCCACACCCCGGGATGCTGCTGGGTGCCGGGGCGCAGGGACACTCCTCCCCGTCCCTCTGCGGGCGGGTGTAGGGGAGTCCCTCGCCCCGGAGCCTGCCTTCCCCGGGGCTGCATTCCCCCTCCCCGGGGAACGGAGCACGGAGGTTCCTCTGGAGAGCTGTGCACGCTCAGCGTGAGACCTGGGAGTGGAGGCTGGCACAGCGCTGGGCTGTTGGTAGTCACCCTCTCCTGCACCCGAGGCGAGCAGGGAGTCCCTCGTCATCTCCATCTCCAGCCCTGAGCATTTTGGTGGCCACTCAGCATACAGCAGCAGCTTGTGCTCTGCCTGCAGGGAGCAGCCAGTAGTGGGAATGCCCCTTCCATTCTCCCCACTGCACCGCCCAAGGCAGGGCTTGGTCCTGAGCATCTTCAAGCCGATGAGCACGAAGACGCTCAGCAATGGGGATGGGGCTCTGCAGGGGCAGTTTTGGATGACCAGAGAGCAGATGTCTCCTCAGTCCTGTCCCAGCATATGGGGACACCACCCTGCAGGAGCTGGGACGCCACCCAGCCCCACGGGCCCCTCACGAACTCAGCAGGGGACTCCCAGTCCTACCCCAGTCCTATGGATAACTTGCACAGGATCTCCTCAGTGGTCTGCAGCCACCATCCCTGCACACCTGGGACATGCACGGTCACTAGCCCTGGGTGACAGGGCATTTAGGGTAGGCTACAGGCAAAGGATAAGAGGTTCCTCCTCCTCCTCTACGCATTTCTAATGGCTCCTTTGAGACAAGCCACACGACTCCCTGCTGGGAAGCCTCGCTGAGCTGTAAGTACAGGGTTTTTTATTTGGACTGTTAATCTAAATCCATTGTACCTGGTTGGAAAAGACCCTGTGTGCAATGCTCCCTGCACTTGCTGCATCCTCACTTGAATGTCTATTAGCACCTTCCCACTACCCTGAGTTCCCTCTGTCAGGTAGAATAAATATACATAACTTCCATTTGAAAGCCTTTGAGAAAAAAAATATGTTGTCAAGGGAAACTCTTCTAGCATTTCTTATAGACATGCTTGATGTGTTTTATATTTTATTTTTACTCTCATAAATGCATATACCAAGGATTTTTTTTCTCCACAAGATAGATATTAATTTGAACGCCCAACATCCAGCTCACACTGGGCTTGTGTAATTCTGACGGTTGTCTCAAAATAGCTTACAATATATTTCAAAATCTATCAGAAAGAGACTGGCTTGATCTGTTCCTTTTTTCCCCAATCATTCATGGAAATTTTGGGTCAACTAAAGGAAAATTTTGCAAATTCACTTTCTCCCAGACAGACACATTTGTATTCTCTGTCCATCGTGCTTTTAAATAAAAATCACCCAAGCTTCCAAAGTGAGCTTCTGTTTCCCAGCTGATACCCCTGCAAATGTGAATGGGGTGCACGCTTTGATGGTCCAACAGGGGAGATCACACTGGGTCCCAGTTCAAAGCCCAGTTCTGTTCTAAAGCTGAGCTTAGCTGTTCGTGAAATAAATAGGCAAGAGAGTTATAAAACTATTAATTGCTGCTTTAGATTCCTAGATGAAAGCTGTATGTGGGCAGAAATAATTTGGTCTATTCATAAGTGAACATGATAAAGGAACATCTCTGGCAGTTCGTGACCCTTCTCCTCGCTCTGCTTCCAGTGCAGGAGGGATGGAGGGATTTCCTTGGAGTACAAAGCCTGCGGGGTCCTGACACCCACCTTTTAATTTTGAGCTGGGAGAGAGGTAGCAGCCAGCCCCTTCTGGCTGTCAGGGTTTGGCATGTCTCACCCAGAGCCACAGCTGTGCACTGGGGATGCTCTGGGTGAGCTGGAGCAATGCTTCAGGCTTGTCCTGCCATCCTGGGCTGCCCTGTGCCCCAGCCCAGCCCCCAAAACACCTTGCCTTTGATTTTGGTGGCCTGACCTTTCAGAGAGCTGTTCTACAAGGAGGGTGCAGAGAGAGCCTGAGGCTGATTTTGGGATAAGCTGGATCCCATGGATGCACATCCAGGGCCCCCCATCTGTGTGTGTGTTCTTATAGCCTGAATGCATGAGCATCCTTCTGGAAGGAACCTGGATTAGTCATCCCTACCCCACAGATGGGCTGTGTGATATCTTCTCTGGAAAAGCTAATCTGACACTGAAATTCCAATTTATCCCTGAAAGAAGGGTTTACACCCCTTCTTCTCCCTTGCTTTTTGCTTAAGCATAAAAATGGGTCCTTCTCCTTCTTCCCTCCCGTTCCAAAGGCAAGACATGAGTCCATTAAGCTCTGAGGTTTATCACCAGCTGGTTGCCTCCTCCAGACGTGGTGTGATGGAAGTGCTGGTTGTGGTGCAAAGCCCCGGGCTGGGAGATGCAGTGGAGTTCACAGATGCCTTTGCCAGGCTGTTTCACACAAATCTGGCATTTCCTGCACCCACAGCCATGCTCAGCTTAAGAAACACCTCCGGGGCTTCACCATGGCTCCATTACCTGTTCCTCTGCAGCTCTGCTCTGCCCTACAGGTTTAAAGGTCACAGTGTCCCCCAGGTCCCTCCCAGTCTGACAGACCTTTTACACTGAGGTTCTCAGACTGGAAAGCAGGTAGAGCCCTGGTGTTTGCCCCATAAATCCTGTGAGATGGCTGGTGAGGAAGAGCTCACAGGACTCCCCTGGGTGGAGTGACCCACCTCGTGTCCCTGACCTAGCCTTGGCCCTCGGTGGCTGCTGTGGGACCAGGCTGTTCTCTGGGGTCTGCTGGCACCTCAGCATCACTGCAGGGGCTGCAGCCTTTTTTCCCTCAGTTCCTGCTGCCTGTTTGTGCCCTCTGTCCCTGCAGCCCCTAAAAGCTTGGGAAAAAAAAAAAAAAAAAAAGCTTGGGGGCCATAAGACAGGACCCCTAAAAGCTTGGTAAAAAAAAAAAAAAAAGCTTGGGTGACATAAGACAGGAAAAAATGTAATTCCTCCACCAAGAGATCAAAGCAGTGTTCCTCAAATCCCACCACTCTGTGCCAGGAGCAGGGAGATCCTGTGAGTACAGGGCTGCTCCATGTGTCCTGGTTGTTTTGATGAATAAGGTAGGTGGAAAAATCTGATTTCAAGGTGGTGCATAAAGACCACAATGCTTTTTATTTGCCTTTTTGCTCTAAATTTCTGGTCAAGACAGGTAAATGCATCTGCATCTGGGAATGCTTCTCTTTCTTTGGTGCTTTAACTGTTTTTCATTAGTAAATAGAATTTCTGCTGCACAAAACAGCCCAGTTCCCTGAAACTTATAAATCCCTAAAATGCAATAGAAATCAAAACTCTGGGTTTTTATTTCCCCATCGACATACAGATTTTATTCAGTCATCAATGATTCTGAATTATGTATTTGTTATGTTTCAACATAATCAAAAGAATCTTAATATTTTACATGGCAGAACACACAAGAGGAAACAAAACAGGCAGATGAATTGTTTTGACACTTCTTCCTCTCAAATTCTCCCTAAAATCGACACCTTCTGTGACAATACTTTGATTTTGGCAAAACTGCCTGTGCTGCTGGAAAGATTGCACCATCTAAAGACTTTTTGACCAGGTCTAATTAGTAGCGTGGGTAGTGGGGCTACAAAGCACTTTGGCAGAATCACAGCAGTGGTGATTTGACAAGATCTAATTTTTCCTCCGGGAGACTCTTTGGGGAATAAATCTTCTCTTCAGTGACTAATTACCTGTTTGAAGAAGGAGAGCCCTGTGGGTGAGATGCTGGAGGTGAATTAAACTGCATTCCTGAGGCCATTAAGAACCTGCAAAGGGAGAAACTTTAGGAGGTAAAAAGTAAGGAAAAGTTTCACATGGAAAAATCATTGGCTTTTCTTCTTTTAGCTTCCATACCACAGGAGAACAACAGTCTAAAGCTGTTTTTCTCCCCTTCTCTCTCCTTGGTCCTCACTTCTCAAAATGCAAACATCCCTCCTCACTCCCCAGGGTGCTTCTGCCCCCTGCCAGGAGCACCCAGATCTGGGGGAGCCCTGTGTCCCCTCCAGCCCCGCTGTCTCATCCACAGGTGGAACCCTCTCCTGCTCTGCTGATCATGGTCAACAAGACCTTAAATTACTGGGGTCCCGGTTTTGAGGAGGACGTTATCAACATCAACGTGGGCGGTCTGAGGAGGCGGCTCAGCTCCAGCGCGCTCTCCAAGTTCCCCGACACGCGCCTGGGACGGCTGCTCTCCTGCGACTCGGAGGAGTCCATCCTGCAGCTCTGCGATGACTACGACGTGAGCGCCAGGGAGTTCTACTTCGACCGAAACCCCGGATTCTTCCTCTACGTCCTGCACTTCTACCAGACGGGCAAGCTGCACGTCATGGAGGAGCTGTGCGTCTTCTCCTTCTGCCAGGAGATCGAGTACTGGGGCATCAATGAATTCTTCCTGGACTCCTGCTGCAGCTACCGCTACCACGAGCGCAAGCTGGAGAGCCGGCACCACAACTGGGATGAGGAGAGCGAGGTGAGCAGCGTGGACACGTCTCCTGATGAGATCTCTGACATCAACCACGACCTGCTGCGCTACAGCACGCTGCGCTGCGGCAACCTGCGCAAGCGCCTCTGGCTCACCATGGAGAACCCCGGCTACTCCATCCCCAGCAAGCTCTTCAGCTTCGTGTCCATCAGCGTGGTGCTGGTGTCCATAGCCACCATGTGCATCCACAGCATGCCCGAGTACCAGGAGGTGGATGAGAATGGCAACGTGCTCGATGAACCCATCCTGCACAAGCTGGAGTATTTCTGCATCTCCTGGTTCACCTTTGAAGTATCCTCCCGCCTCCTGCTCTCACCCAACCCCAGGAAGTTCTTCAAGCACCCGCTGAACCTGATTGACATTGTCTCAGTGTTGCCCTTCTACTTCACCCTCCTGGTGGACGTGACCATGGGCAGTGACTCGGAGCTGGGCAACCTGGGCAAGGTCGTGCAGGTGTTTCGGCTCATGAGGATATTCCGGGTGCTGAAGCTGGCTCGGCACTCCACTGGACTGAGGTCACTGGGGGCCACCTTGAAGGTAAACTGGCTCTCTATCTCCTTACCTACTCCTTTAGTCTAGTGCCTAGCAGGGCTGAGAGTGACCTGCTGAGCAGGTAGCAGGCCAGCCAGCAGCTGCTGGATCTGCCAGCATCAGTGTGTGGCTCAGGGCTGCTCCTGTCCCCATTCTGGGAAATGGGGGACCCTCCTAAGGGCATGCTGCCAGCTGACCAGAGGCCAGTGTCCAGCCCCTGGTGTCTGCTCATTTAGGGAAACAGAAATCCTGCTCCAGCTGAGTTGATACTTGAATGCTTCAGGACACAGTGAGGCTGGGACTGGCACACAGCAGCAATAGAAAAGCAATGGGTGAGTTGCATGGCTTGAGAAAACCAGCCCCAGGCAGGGTCTATGCCCTCAGCAGAGCCTGGGTTTCCAGCAGCTGCCCCTCTGAATGATGGAAAACTTGGCATGCAGGGCTGGGGGAAGCTGGTTCCAGGACCATGTGGTCCTCAGGAGGAAGGTCTGGAGGAAATGCTGACCAGTGGAGGACCAGGATTCAGGTATACCTACAAGTGGCATCCCTGCAGGTCCCTGCAGGACCACATCCCCTGTAACATGCCCCAAGGCTGTGTTTCTCCAGACCTCCACCCACAGCACTCCTGGTGTCTTCAGACAGATCCAAGGGCAACTTGAAATCTGTTGTGCAATCCTCACTATCCTGGTGCTGCAGCCAGACCTGGCATGGGAGGGAGCTGCAGCTCCTGGTGCTGCTCCCTGTGAAGGGCCATGTCAGGGATGAGTAGCTGGGGACACCCTGTTTTCACTGCTGCAGCAGTGACAGGGCTGGCATGGGGTGTACTGGCATCGGCAGGTCTTGGCTGCTGGGGTTGGACCCATTCCTGTGGCTGAGTCATGGAGAAAAGCAACGAGTGAGTGTGAATGGGGGTGAAGATGGGCAGCAGGAAAGGTCTTCTGCCAGCTTCTGCTGTGATGCAGGATCAGCCCTGCCCAGAGCTAATCTTGCAGAGCCCACAGAGCATCAAAATATTCCTAGCATCCTCAAAACCTGCTAAAAACAGGGTGGGTTGCTTGAAACGAAGATGCCTGAAGTCCTACCTGCATCATACTTCCTTCTGAACACTCACCTTGAAAGGGCACTGACAAGTGACAGACCCAGGTAAATCTGCTGGTGAAATTTAAGTAAACTTGCACACATGAAAAGGGCACCCTAAATCCTGCTGGTGCTCCATCCAAGCATGAACAGCACCTTTCAGCAGAGCAGGCACTGGTGGACTCATGTGCACATTACTAAGCAGCAGACGAGATGTGGGGAGCCGGCAGCGTCGCGGCTCCGGCTCTGACGAGCGGCTGATTCACCCGGTGACGTGCTGGAAAGTGCCCCTTCCTGGGGACTCCATAGCCAGCTCTAAATGGGGATGAGCAAAGACACAAATCTGATGCAGCAGCTTGGCATTGTGATTTAGTGGGCACATAAATTACGACGTCTTGTTAATCATAATTTACTTCCTATTGCGAGAGCAGAAAGCAGGAGCAGAGCAGTGAAGGCTGTTAACAGCCAGGAAGCGGGAGCGATGGCTCTGGCAAGCTGAGTGATTGTTCCCCTGCCACGAGAGTGCTAGCAGAGGGAATTCTGCCATTTGTGCATCGTAAACCCTGAACAGTCCTCAGATTGCTTGGGGCCTGATCCACAGCATGTTTAATTTGAGGAGAGGCTTCCTACACATCTCTGCTCTTCCTCCCCACCATGCCCGACATCCATTATCGCTACTGCAGCTCCTTGTGTGTGGGTTTGGATCCCCTCTCACACTGGCTGTCGGTAGATGTTGGTCCCTGGGTAATTACAGCACATACAGGGATCTTCAGGAGTTGCTGTCTGTTCCCTCAGGAGCCTAAATACATAAAGAGGTTGGAACTGTGCACATGCCATGTCACCCTGCTGTCACTACCACGGCCCATCTCTGCTCGGTCTCCACACCGCTGTTTCTGGCAAGACTCAAAGTGGGCTCTTCCATTCCGATTGTCTTCTGCTGTACTGGAGGAGAGATGTGCATTTGGCAGGAACCTGCAGAGACTGCTGCTTGGAGGGCTTTTTGCTGGAGTCTTTTATTACCTAGCATTGCTTGCCCCAAGGCTGGCTGCTTGCTAAGCCTGCAACCCCCACCACACCCTGGTTAAAACTGCATCCCACCCAAACCCTGGTTAAAACTGCATCCCACCCAAACCCTGGTTAAAATTGCATCCCACCCAAACCCTATCCAAGCCTGCATCCCACCCAGTCCTTGGATAAACCTGCATTCCATCTGAAGCCTGGCTAAGCCTGCATCCCACTCAAACCATGGCTAAAACTGCATCCCAGACAAACCCCAGCTGCCTTCCCCATCAATCAATGAGCAAAGCAGAAGTTTTGCAGATAAAGGGATGCAAATAGATGGCAGCCAGTGCCTGAGGATCAGTTGGAAGATTTCTGGAGCCTTCCCTGTGCTACAAACCCTGACCTTGCATGTAAATTGAAGCAGCAGGAGCTATGGAGCTGCCTGACTTCCCCTTTGCCTTCCCCCTTCAACATATCCCAGGGCCAGAACTGATACTCTTTAAAAATTCATGAGGTTATTTGGTGCTGCTGGTCCCCAGCTGGGATGTACAGACCTGCTGTTAACTTCCAGCCAGGAGCAGGTCATTCTTGGCCAAGTGATCCACCCTTGGCTCTGAGCTGTTTGTCCTTCCCTTGGCACTGCTATAGGGCATTTGCAGCCACAGGTGAGGGAGGAGAAAGGGAGGAGAAGGAGGAGGAAGAGAAGGTTATTTGGTATTACTGGCATTATCTGAGCAGCTTTTGCCAGCTCTCTAAGCAAAGTCTCCTCATTCCATGAATCCACCTCCTTTTAAGTCTCATCCTGACCACAGAAGCCTTTTCCCACATCTGCTGCTGTTTGCTTTGCTCAAATGTTGTTTCCTTTAGCTATTATGTGGTTTCCAATAAAGCATTCTCTGCTTGTTAGGAGACTGGGAAAAAATCCCCTCAGTCAAAGCTCTGCTTTCCTTTTCCCAAAAGATGAAGAGCAAGCTGGCAGGTCAGTGGGCAGAAACATCCAAAAAATTCACTTATGGCAGTGAAAAAGTGATTGGACAAGCCATGCTGGGAGGATGGTGGTGGCAGCCTGTCCCCTGGCAGTCCCTTCCCGGCATGACTTGCTGCCTGGTCCTCCAGCTGCCCACTGCCTCTTCCCCCTGGGCTTCTGGCACAGGTTTATACTTTGTTCAGATGTTAGGAATATAAAAAGAAAGATTGCAGCACAAAGGTTTTAGGTTGAAACCAGAGAAATGGTGTCTTCTTCAAGGAGCATTGCATACCTCTGCCATCAGAGCTGGGTGTCCCATGGCTCCATTCCCACCAAGGCTCCCCTTGGCCTGTATCTCATCAAGCTGGGGCTCGCAGCACCCTGCAGGATGGGTGCTGTGACCAGCCCATGCTGACACTGGATGGGTTCCTGCTCTGCCCTGATGACCAGGGATGTTTGGTTTCCTGTCAGCTCCGATGTGATGTTTCTACATGTGTGTAACAAAGGGTTCATGAACACTGAGGCTCAGTGCTGTTGGGGTACAGGAGGGACCCTGGGGCTCAGGGGTCTCCAGGGAGCCTGGGCTGAGACCTGGGTAAGAGCTGAGCTGAGCTGAGCCTGCAGCAGAGACCACGTCCTCCCTGCGAGCAGTGCCAGCGACGCAGGAAGGTACAAATTGCTTCTTTTAGTGGCTGCCTATTAGGTGGTTTCTGGGGACCTGCCAAGATAAAAGGAAAATGTGCTAAATATTGTTAGCTGAGATCAGGCCAGAGCGAGCGCTGGAGGCAGGGGAGCAGCCTCTGCTGGGGATCCCTGGCTGGGGAGCACAGATCTGTCTTTCCTCCCAGCACTCACAGGCTGGTGGAGTGCAGGGAGGCAGCTGTGGGTGCCAGGAGCGATTCCTGGCTGCACCACTTGCTCCAGATGTGAGTCACTCCTGCCCCACCCCAGCCCACCCCTGGAGCAGGACATCCCACAGCAGAGGTGGATGGAGGCACTGGGATCCCTGGTGGAGCGTGCAGGGCTGTGTTTGCACTGTGGGATCTCTGTGTCTTGGTCAGTGGCCCCCTCTGACCAAGGCTCTGCTTTTCCTTGCAGCACAGCTACAGGGAGGTGGGGATCCTGCTGCTCTACCTGGCTGTGGGGGTCTCGGTCTTCTCTGGAGTGGCCTACACTGCTGAGAAGGAGGAAGACGTCGGCTTCGACACCATCCCAGCGTGCTGGTGGTGGGGCACGGTCAGCATGACCACCGTGGGCTACGGGGACGTGGTGCCCGTCACCGTGGCAGGGAAGCTGGCGGCCTCGGGCTGCATCCTGGGGGGCATCCTGGTGGTGGCACTGCCCATCACCATCATCTTCAACAAGTTCTCCCACTTCTACCGCAAGCAGAAGGCGCTGGAGGCGGCCGTGAGGAACAGCGGCAAGGAGGAGCCCGAGGAGGTGGGGAGCGCCTCCAGCCGCGACCGGGACTCGGTGAGCGACACCTCCCTGGACAGGGGCAGCCCTGACCGCCGTGGTCTGACCCCCGGTGCCCACCCCAGCCCCTGAGCCCTCGCTCTGCAGCCCTGGGGCACGTGGGACCTGCTGGGACCCACCTGGGGCACGTGGGACCTGCTCGCGGTGAGCATGGCACCGGGACACGGCGGAGGAGCCACGGCCGGCATCACCCTGCGAAGGACAGCAGGGGCTGGAGGAGATGTTGGGGGGTGCTGGCTGCTTCCAGACCCTGTGCCTGCCTGGATGTGTCTCAGCCTTCACCTTGCTCACCCGGAGGTTGAGGTGCTGGATATACCCCTGACAGAAAGGGAGGCAGAAAATAAGAAATACAAATGACCCCTGATGAGGCACTGCCCCAGGTGTATGGAGAGGGATTTTCCTCTGCCCTAATGTTTTGTGTTGTCCAGGGTGAGGTTAAATAGCTCAAGGATGAGGCAGCCCTCAGCCAGGCTGGCAGCCCTTACAGATCCTGTGCCATGTTGACAACTCCTGCCCCAGCCTGTCCTACCCCAGCAGGAAACAGGCTCAAAAGGCTCAACTGCCCCCCCAGCTATAAAGGAAAGGGGCCTGGGAATGATCCTGTATGGGAGGAGAGGTAGTGTCCAGCTCAGGGTGAGCCCTGTGGTCCCCAGCCCCTGCAGTGGGATCGACTGAACCCCACCTTCTTTCCATGGCTAGGATTTACCTGCCCTCCTGCACTGCCACTGCCGGGACCCCAGGGATCTGGGGCTGTGCTGGGAGTGTGGCTCAGCTGGAAGCACTGCCCACACATGGGGAGGGACACTGCCCACACAGCTGGGGATGACCAGGATGGCAGAAGGAACGCTGTCCTCTGAGGCAGCAGCAGTCAAAGGGGTCAGGCTGGGGGAACTGGGGAGCCAGTCCCAGTGGAGCTGTCCCCCAGGCCCTGGTCTCCCTCACTGCAGCCCCTAGCCTGGCTTTATCCTGCCTCTTCCCTCCCTTCCCCAGGGCCAGGCAGGGCCAGCAGGGCTGCAAGGAGGGGTCACACTGCCCCAGGTGTCCTCACAGGGAGCTGAGCTCCCCGAGTGCTGCTGCACTCACCTTCCCCCTGCAGGGACAGAGCTGGGGCAGAGGGGACCTTGCACTGCTTTTGTCACCACAGCCTCTGAGCACCTCACAGCCAGGCAGGGAGGCTGGCCTGGAACACAAACCCCTTCCTGCCTGCCCCCCAGCCCACCTGAGCACTTTCAGGGCTGCTCCCAGCACAGTGTTAATTCCCTACAGAGCTTTTCTTCGCCCTCCCACCCCTGTTCTCTGTTTGGAAATTGTGCAGCTCCGTTGCACACAGAGGAGTGCACCCAGCAATGCCTGTTTTGAGCAGGAGAAATGTGCATCCCGCAGTCCCAAACCACCTCAAACACACATTAAAGGCTGCAGGATGACCCCAGGTACCTGGATCATGGCTTTGCTGCTGCTTCTCCTGGCTGGGTTTCAGCACAGCTGTAGCTGCTGGTGCTGGCTCTGCCTGTAGCAATCTGCTGGTCACAGGCAAGGAAAGCCAACACTGGTGCAGTTCCAGCCTTTCCAAGCCCAGTGGGACTCAGGGAGGGTTCCCAAGGACTGATGGTGTGGGATGGGAGGGTGCTCACGCTTCTGGCATCATCAAGTCTTCCAGTACCAACTCCATGGTCTGCTCTGTGCTTATTCCTGCTGGGAGCTGGGACTGGAGAGCAGCACCCTCTGCTCCAACCAGCTCCTGCTGCACTGTTACTTGAATACAGGAAGGAGTTTCCCCTTCTCAACATAAATATTCCAGTAGCAAAATGTATTCAAATGTGAAGAGTAAATTATATCTATTAATGAAAAAGCATTATGCAAATAATTAGGAGCATGTAAATTAATTTTCTATCTATGCATGGGATGCATACTGTATATTTTATTAAAGACCTCAGTGACCTGCTGTGGATGCTGGTTTCTGTTTTGTGGCAGCTGGATGTGCTCATGCAGCCCACGGGCTGAGCCAGGGCTGGGTCAAGGTGAGCAGGAGCAGCTCCCACAGTGCTGCAGGTCCCTGCAGCCAGCTCCCACCCCACTTTGGAGCCCAGCAGAGTTCCACCTCAGCCCGGCTCTGGATGGTGTGCTGACAGCCAGTCCTCGTGCCTGGACCACTGCTGTCATCCTGGCTGGAGCAGCTGGAGTAACCCACCTTCCTGAGGCTCATGAATCAGGCATTCATGGGCTGGGAGGGAATGTGGTGGAGCTGGTGGGCTCTGGGAAAAGCCACTCAGGGAGCCAGGCATCACAGCTGGGAGGGAGGAAATCCTGGTGCTGCCTGTGGCTCTCTGGTGCTCTGAAATGAGGGGATGTCTCTAGACTGGGGCAGGGGCTGGCTGGGGAGGGCACCACTGCTCTCCCTGTGTCAGGTGCATTACTCTGCTGGGCATGATGGGGTAAAAACAGTTCAATCTTTATTCCTTTGAGAGCTTTCCCATTAAAAAAAAATTACAAATCCACATGCTGCTAATCATTCCAAGGCAAAAGCTGCCCTACCTTGGGGGCTACAAGCAAGGCAGGATCTGTGAGCCCCTCTGCCACGTGCAAAGGCACATCAGAGGGGGCTGGTGCACGAGAGCCCCAAGCTCGGGTTTGGGAAAGCCACAAAAGATGTTTTCTTTTTTTAGCCTCCTGCTCTCTGTGAAGACATTAGGATTTGTATGGCTCTGAGTAAGTGCACCAGGAAAATCCTCCCACTGCTGTGCAGGCAGATCTGGCAGAGCTGGAGCTGTGCAGAGCAGGAAGAGCAGGAAGGTGCCCAGCAGCAGAGTGGGTGAGCACAGCCCACGCTCCCCGGCGAGGCACGGCTGTGCAGCACGGGGCTGCAAGGACAGGCCTCTCTTACTATTTCTGAGGCAAGCAGGAAACTCATGTTCTTTTGCTAATCCCTAATCAGTTTTCCTGAGTGGCTGCATTTTCATTTGATACAGTGGGTAAATCAATTACACACTTTATCAGGTTATTCCTACAAAGCTGCTTTCCACATTCACCAAATGATTGACTAAAGCATGACTCTCTTGCCTCCAGGGAATGGTGATTAAGGAGTGACCTTATTAAGCTATTTAATGCAGCTGAGAGTTAGACAACTCTGCTCAAAGAGACAAAGTAAACTTCATTACCTTTGTTTAAAACTTCTTTTCCTTTGCCAACTTTCAGATCCATGACTACCCTGAGCATGGTCTGTGCACTTGGCTGGTAATTAGAAAACCAGGAGATTTTAAAGGGCTTCATCTACAGGAAGGAAAGACTCCTCACTGGTAGTGTTTCTGGGATCTCCCCTGCTCACAGATTCTTACAACCCTGCTGACCTCAACAAAAATCAGATCTCACTGTTTGAGCTCACTGCTTGACACGTTGAATCAGTGTTACTTCTATTTGCTGAACTATGTAAGGAGATCAGTAAAAACAAACAGTGTAGCAATTCCATTCTTTTTTTAATACAAAATAATGCTGAACCACTTTTGCCTTGTAGTGAGACAGCCCCGAGGTCTGCATATACTTATGGGTTCACTTTAGCCTTTACCTGAACCCAAGCTGCTAACTTAGTTGTAGGAAAAACACAAAATCAAGACTTCTAACCATCTGAGAAAGCCAAATGAGCAGCCTTGAAGGCATGGAATTAAATTAACCAAGTGTGCCTAGACAGGTCACACCACTTCAGGGAATAAAACCCCCAGGTCAGGCATGCAGGGAGGCACAGCACCAGCAATGCATCTTCACATCCACACCTTGAGCAGAGTGGGAGAAACTGCCCCACATTTCTTTCAAGATCATGCTCTCTGTAGTGAAGGAATATTGGTCCAGAGCTTGTGAGCCCCTTGGGCTGAGGAAAATGCACCCTGCAGCTCAGTTGTCTGCTGACTGTGCACAGACAGGGCTGCAAGAGGCTGCTGTCACCACTCAGGAGGGGGCTCAGGGACTCTGGGCTCCCTCCACGTCCAGCACTGTATTGATTTGGACAGCAACACCCTAGAGGGGAGCAGGACAGTCTTTCATAGATGGAATTGAATTGTTTTAAAGCACATTGGCTTTCTTCTTGGGCTCTTAAATTAAAGAGCAATTAACTTTCAGTCTAGAAAGAGCTGATGGGTGTTTCCTGGTTTGACTCGTCAAAATTTTGCCAAAATGATTAGCGAAATGAAAAATTGTCAACTCTCGAGGCAGGGCTGTCAGCCAACACCCAGCATTTATCCAAGCTCAGACTCTTTTGGCCTGTGGACAGCAGGAAATGGTACAAAATGAAGGTGTAGGAAATGAGTAGCTGGGCAAAAAGGACACTGGCACAGCAGCTCCTTTATCTTAGTGCTAATAATTATTGAAAGTGCTGGTTCTATGGGCTTAGTGGAGAGCTGCCTTTTTCCCTTATGGGGGAGAAAACCAAGGCTGACCATCAGCCCCAGCTCACGGGTGCCTGTTGTTGCTGGGTTTGTTAGCCACATGCAGCAGTTTGTGCAGCAGGTGAGTGCACACAAACACTCCCCTGGTATGGCTGCACATCCCTCCCTCCCTTTGCTCTGGGGCTCCACAATATCCTGGTAACGTTGCTGAGAAGATGTGAGAGCTCCAGGCTTCCCCAGTTACTAGAAAAGCCCGCAGCCTCCCTCCCTTTGATTTCCAAGCTCCTTCCCAACACTTAAAAGCTCAGATCTATTTTGTTTCTTCCGGAATTGCTAACCAAAGCTGACTCCTGAATGAATTCTGTCTCTGCTCCAGTTAGTCATCCCTCCAGGACAGATTTAGTAACTGCTCAGGGAAACCACATCGAAGCCAACAGTTCACCATTGGAAGGCAGCACCCACTCACTGTCAGCTTCGTCTTTTCCTGAGCTAGAAAGCTCAAAGTGCAGCCAGTGAGCCAGAATTAGGAGTGAGCCTCTAGCCTCACCTGTTGTGTAGGAAGGTGGATAAACTGGTATGTACCTAGCCCCAAATGTGCCTGCAGGCTCAGGGAAGCTGCTGCAGAGACAAAAAGGACCTACAGCAGAGCTCAGCATCCCCATCTGCCAAAGCACCCATGGGGCAATCATCCCCCCTGCA